AAATGTCTGTTCATTTCAGAAGCCCATTTTTGGATTGGGTCTTTCAATTTGGGAGGTCTGATATTTTTAAGTTCTTTATAGATTCTAAATAGTAGACCTTTGTCTGAGGAACAGAAGGAGAAAATTTTTTCCTACATTGTGGGTTGTCTCTTCACATTGTTAGTCATTTCTCTTGCTGTGCAAAAGCTTTTTAATAACAAGAGATCCCACTTGTTCATTGTTTGAGCTCATTCACAAGCAACTGGGGTTTTGTTCATAAAAACTTTTCTTACAAAAATGACTTCAAGAGTTCTTCCTAAACTCTTTTCTAGGCAGTTTATTATTTCTGTTTTAATATTTAGATCTTTAATGCATTTTTAGTTTAGTGCATGGTAAGAGGTATAGGTCTAGATTTAATCTTTGGCAAGTTTAAACCCAGTTTTTCCAGCACCATTTATTAAAGAGGCTACCATTCCTCCAGTGAGGGTGTTTGGCTCCTTTGTCAAAGATGAGGTGGTTGAGTGGGTCAAAGGATATTTCTGCATCTTCTAATCTGTTCCACTGGTCCTCAGGTCTACTTCATTGCCAGTACCATGCTCTTTTTATCACAGTAGCTTTGTAGTGTAGTTTCACGTTGGGAGTTGTAATACCCCTGGCCATGTCTGTTACCTAGAATTGCTTTTGCTATTCCATGTCCCTTCTTGTTCCAAATGAATTTTTAGTTTTTTTATCAAGGTCCATGAAGTATGCTCCTGGGATTTCAATTGGGATTGCATTGAATCTACATAGTAGTTTTGGATGTATGGCCATTTTCACTATGCTGATTCTTCCTACCCAGGAGCAAGGAATGTCTTTCCATTTTCTGATATCATCTTCAAACTCTCTTTTCAGAGAGCTATAGTTTTCAGAGTAGAGGTCTTTGATTTCTTTTGTTAGGTTGATTCCTATGTATTTCATTTTTGGGGATGCTATTTTGAAAGGAATTATTTGCCCTATTTCTCTCTCAGAAAGTCTGTTTTTCATGTGGAGGAAAGCTATTGATTTTTGTGTGTTGATCTTGTATCCAGCTATTTTGCTGAATTTGCTTATTAAGACTAGAAGACTTTTAGTAGAGCTCTTGGGGTCTTTTATATAGAGTATCATGTCATCTGCAAATAATGACAATTTGACTCTTTCATTTCCTATCTTTATTGATTTTATTTCTTTCTCCTGTCTAATTCCTGTTATTAATATTTCCAAAACTCTATTGAACAGGAGTGGTGATAGTGGACATCTTTGTCTTGTTCCTGATTTCAGTGTGAAGGATTTCAGTTTTTGACCATTTAGTATGATATTGACTGTTGGTTTTTCATAGATGGCTTCTATCAGATTCAGGAAGAGACAGCCTATTCCATTTTTTGGTAGAGTTTTTATCATAAATGTGTATTGAATTTTGTCAAATACTTTTTATTCATCTATTTAGATGATCATATAGATTTTGTCCTTGGCTCTATTGATATAGTATGTTACATTGATTGATTTGTGTATGTTGAATCATCCCTGCATCCCTGGGATGAATCCCACTTGTTCAGGTGTATGATCTTCTTGATGATATTCTGCATTCTATTTGCCAGTATCTTTTTAAGGATTTTTGTATCTATGTTCTTTAGTTAGACTAGCCTATAGTCCTCTTTTTTTCAGTTGGGTCTTTCTCTGCTTTGAGGATCAAGGTGATGCCTTCTTCCAGAAATGTATTCAGGAGTATTGCTTCTCTTTCAATGGTAGTGGCAGTAGTTTCTCTCTAAATGTCTTGTAGAATTCAAGTGTGAAGCCATAAGAACCCGGGCTTTTCTTAGTTAGTAAGTTCTTAATTACATTTTAAATTTCATTGATCGATATTGGGTTATTTAGAATTTTTAGGTCTTCTTCTTTCAACTTTGGTAATTCATACATATCTTGGAATCTGTCCATTTCTTCTGTATTTTCCATCTTATTGCCATATAGGTTCTTCAAGTAGAATTGATGATCCTCTTAATTTCAGCTGGATCCCTTGTAATTTCATCCTTTTCATTCCTAATTGCATGGATTTGGGCTTTTTGTTTCCTTTTCTTGATAAGTTTGGCTAAGAGTTTGTCTATTTTGTGTATTCTTTGAAAGAACCAACTCTTGGCTTCATTGATTTTTTGTATTGTCCTCTTAGTCTTCATTGGATTGATTTCTGCTCCGATATTTATAATTTCCTCCCTTTTATAGGCTTTGGGTTTGTCCTGCTTTTCTTTATCTAGAAGCTTTAGGTTCAGCATCAGGTTGTGTAGTTGAGCTCGCTCTGTTTTCCTAATATGAGTATTCACTGCTATGAATTTCCCTCATATACTTGCTTTTATTGTGTCCTGTAGATTTCAATATGTTGTATTGTGATTGTCATGTAATTGTAGGAACTATCTGATTTCTTCTTTAATTTTCTCTGTGACCCATAGTTTATTCAGAAGTGTGTTGTTCAGTTTACATGTGTTCATGAAATTCTTGCATTTTCTTTTGCTATTGATTTCCAATTTCATCACACTGTGGTCTGATAACATAAAGGGTATAACTTCACTTCCTTTCCACTTACTTAAACATGTTCTAAGCATGAGTATGTGGTCTATTTTGGAGAATGACCCCTGTGCAGCTAAATAGAATGTGTATTCTGATTTTGTGGGGTGGAACACTCTGTAAACATCTGTTAAGTTCATTTGTTCAAGAGTTTGATTGAGTTCTAGTATTTCATTACTTAATTTTTGTCCACTTGATCTATTTTTGGCACTGGGATGTTGAGGTCCCCAAGTACTATTGTATTAGTGCTTATTTGATTTTTCATGTCCATTAATATTTGTTTTATATAGTTGGGCCCACTAGTGTTTGATGCATATATATTTGTGGTTGTCATCTTTTCCACTTGGATTGTTCCCTTTACAAGGATGTAGTGTCCTTCTTTGTCTCTCTTAATCAGGGCTGATTTAAAATCCACTTGATCTGCAAAGAGAGTAGCTTACTCCTGCTTTTGTTTTGGGTTCCTGTAACATGGCATATTGTTTTCCACCCCTTAACTTTCAGTCTATGAGTTTCTTTTTGAATTAAGTATGTTTCTTCTATGCAGCATATTGTTGAATCTTGCTTCTTGACCCATTCTGCCAGTCTATTTCTTTTTACAGGGAATTGAGACCATTGACATTGATGGTTATGACTGATACATACTGACTTATCATTGTCATGACGTTTTCTTTTTTTGGATTCTCCCCTATTGTGTTTAATTTCTTTTCATGGCTGATTGATCCATTCTGCTGGTCTCCCTGGGGTTGTGAGCCTCATTTTGTTTTCCTAGGATATTGTCTAAAATATTTTGGCTTGGTGGTTTGGTATTCATGAAGTTCCTAAGGTGCTGTTTTTCATGAAAGTATCTTATTTCTCCATCAATTATTGAAAGATAGTTCTGCCGGGTACATCAATCTGGTTTGGAGGTTGTTTTCCTTTAGTGCTTGGAATATATCATTCCAAGCTCTTCTTGCCTTAAGCATTTGCATTGAGAATTCTGCTGTGATTCTGATGCATTTTCCATTGTCTGTGATTTGTTTCTTTTCTCTAACTGCTTGTAGAATTTTGTTCTTCTGTTGGATTTCTGGAATCCTAACTTTTATATGCCTATGTGTTGATTTTTTTTGAGCAAGGCTACTTGGAGTCCTATAGGCCTCACTTATCTGTATGTCAAGTTCTTTGCCCTTTCTTGGGAAGTTTTCTTCCATCACTTCTGTGAACAGTTTTTTTATGTCACGTGCACTCTCTCCCATTTCTTCGTTGACTCCAAACACTCCAATGTTGTTCTTCTTTGCATCATCTAGCAACTGCCAGATTGATTTCTCATGGTCCCTTAGAATTTTAAAGAAGTTTTTCTTTTCCTGATCACTAATTGCAATCTTATCTTCTATATCTTAAATTATGTCCTCACATTGGCTCATTCTGGTGCATAGACTTTCAATGGAGCTTTTAATCTGGATATCTGTTTGCACTTTTTATGGATTCCATTTGTTTCCAATGTTGAATTTCATCATGTTTCTCAGCTCCTCTATTTTTTATCTGTGTCCTCTCTAGATTTATTAATCATGTCTTGCACTATGGGCACGATCTCTGCTGTTATGTGAGATATTATTTCTAATTTCATTTTTTCCAGATCCTCTTTTGTTGCCTGTTCATGAATTCCAGGAGATTGAGTATCAGAGTGTTCCATCTAGTTTCCCTTTGGGGTTGCTTTAGGTGATTTGAAAGTCTGGTTTTGAGGCTTGTTTATGTGTCTTCTCATTTAGAAGAGAGGAGCAGGTTGCTGCTGGCACCAGAGTGGCTCACCTCTTTTGTGCCAGGAGCAGTGCTTCTGTGGCCTAGAAGCCTCTTCCTCTGTGCTGGGAGTGGTGTTATGGCCATCTAAGACAATAATCCCACATGAAAACAGCATGTTCTGCACATATGTAAGGCATACTCTGATAGTACATGTGTTTTCATCTCCTGTCTTGTGTGTACAACATACTTGATATCTTCCTGTTCTTGCTGTTTGGTCAGGACTTTCTTATACAATGTGCAGTTAACAGAAAATCAAAATATCAATTAAATTAAGTACTAAATTCATCACATGTATTGCATTACCGTGAGAAAGCCCCACTAAGAATAGCAGGCCTATGAGTGCTTTCAGTTCTGATAGTGAGGTGTCATAATTAACATTTTTCATTATTACTATCAGTGCATACAGAATGTCTTACTTGTATTTCATCATTCATTTATTTCACAACATCTTAGAGCATATTATCTGTTACAAACAATTTTTTACATTGAAGACAGTACTGGTATTTTGTCTAATAGGTTTCACCCGTCTTCCAAAAACCTAATTGCAATTTTGGACCTAGTTCTAAATTTGGATAGTTCAGGTATGTGTGACTATTTTGCTGTTTTTCCACTAGTCAAATATGTACTTAACATTGCTATTTTTTTCCTCATGTGAATCAAGGAGGTCTTCATACCCTGTGTTTGTATCAGTTGATTCTTGCTCCATATCACTGTCACAGGTACTTTGGCTGAAATGGCCAGTGTCAAAGTCATCATCATCTTTGGTGCATAAGTCTTGACCTCTTCCCAAACTTGTAAATTTTGTTTTTCCTGTGCCATTGTACTGAATTGCACTCAATCTACAAGAAAAATCAAAAGAAAACATCTTTTAAAATAAATTCTAAATGCACAGCAATTTAACAATGAGTATTTGATGAGTAAAACTCACCTGTTGTTCCTTTGGAGCTCCCGTATGTGCCTTGGCCTTTGTCTGCCCATTGGGTAAAAGCATAGATGGGTTCCTGTTTTCCCCAAACACAGCTACTGTGAGCAACACCTGGCTTCCATTGTAGTAAAGAACATATTTATGTTACAAAATTATGGTATAGGTGAATTTTACCCACCATGATGTATGCCAAGGAACATACACAAAAATGTTACATGGAACATTATATAGGTAAAAGTCTCGATTTGTCACCTTTGTACACATGTACATGCCTTGTAATTCATCTTACCAAGTGGATAAACATAAAGATTGCTTCCTGTAACCCCCAGGGGCAGCTACTGAGATGCACAGCTTGCTACCATTATGCTACACTTAATTTCATTAAAAATGTATGGAATGGTTGCATGTTACCCACTGTGATGACCTAGAGGCACATAAAATGACCTGAAACTGAGTGATTCACAGAGATATTACATTTTCCTATTTCTGATCCAGCTTTAGATTCACCAAACAGCCACTTCAATTAACACAACATGATAGCCTAAATGATGCTATTAACTTTTAAAAAATTATAACTACATAATTCATATTTTCCAAAGGTATAAACAACATAAACTGTAGACATATTTTGCAATGAATGTGTCTCAGTGTAATATTTGTTGACTTCAACAGATATCTCTTCCCAGGTTGACCTGATTCCAAAATAATTTTTGAAAGTGTATAAACTAAAAATATATTCAAATGATTCCACACTAACATAAAATTATAAGACAGTCACCATATGTAATTATGACAATTTCACCACACATATCAATTTATAAAATATTTAAAAGTCAAAGAAAACGGGGAATCAAATTTAATAATATCAATATTTTAGGAAACAAGCTACAGTATATATATGTGACATATGATGGCCAAATACAGAATAAATAAAGTTATTTGTTTAGGATAAGTTTTAAGAGAATGACATATAATATGTATGTAGAAAATTTTTAATGATTTTAAAATAATCGAAAATTTTATTGACTTTTTCTATAATTATCAATATGTAGAGTTAACACAGGAAAAACTTAGAAAATAATAACTGGTCTAAGTCTCAGTTCAACTTGGAAACAAGCAAAGTACTTTGAAATCAATTCTATATTTTTGTAACAAGTTTATTTGATTTTTAATTAAACATTTATGTACCACTTTATCGCAAATCACATATCTGTTTGCATATATTGGTGTGATTTTTGTGAGCTGATCACATAAGAATTGCACAATTTGTATAAAAACCATGAGGAATATTCAAAACCAATATGCTATTTATGAACTAAGTAAACAAAAAATGTGCTTATGGTTAAAATATCACAACAAATATAAAAATTATATAGTTTAGTAATATATGACATTTTCTAATTGATAATATGGACTTACTTATATTTAAGATTATGGTAGATTCACAAGCAGTTGTAAAAAATAAAACATAAGGAAAATCCATATACATGTTTCCTCCAATGATAATAAAAACCCAGTGATTGAAAATGGTGCGTTTAAGTCTCAGGAAGAGTTCAACAGCTTTACATGTGTTTGTGTATGTGAACTTAATTGATCATATCTATGAATTAAAATAATCACCCTCAGGGTAAAAAAATAGAATAGGTCCATCCAGAGAATCTTGTCTGTTAATTTTTTGTAGTTCAGCCACCTCTACCTTTTTCCAAATTTTTTGCTATAATGAAGCTGTTCTCTATCTCTTTGTTTTTATCACTTTGTGGATGTAATATAGATGGAGTAGTACAGTGTGCAACAACCATTTATTAAATATGTTAAACAAACATATCAAACTGCATATTTTTATTGAGTACTATATTATGTTTTGATCCATTAAATATTATATTCAACTTAAACATATCTATCTCCTCAAAAATTTATCATTTCTTAATGGTGGAAACATTCACAATTACTTTCTTACATCTTGTTGAAATGTACATATATCATTGTTATCTATAGTCTCCCTACTGCTATAATCTTTTTTAGTATTTTATGACCCCCAGAAATGTATTTTGTTATTTGGCAGGATGTTTTCAATATACCAGTTAGATCCTGTCCTTTGCTTATGTTATCTGTTTCTTTCTTACTTTAGTATAGATGCACAAATTTAGGTCTCTGTTTAGTTCCTCTGATACCAGGGGAGGTGGGTAAAGTGTCTTGTAGCCTCATTTCTTATCTCCTAAATCTACTTTTCTTTGTTTGTTTGTTTGTTTTTGATGCTGGGTATGGGAGGAAGTTCATGTTCCTCATATAATCCATGACAAGGTATTGGGTACAAGTGGTATTCTGACTGTTCCTGAAGCGTGTAGCTCTGAGTTCAGTCTTCCTGATGTCATGTAGATGAGGAGGTTCAGTACACTCTTGGGGATTGCTGAGAATGTGACAGTGTAAAGTGGGCTGGCATTGGATGGGAACATCATATTTTTCCACAGGAAGATTAGCCTCCATTCAGGTGACCAGAACCAGACAATAGGTAAAGCCCACCTGCCTGCTTTTACCAATCAAATAGGTGGGTGCAGCCCTACCAACCCTGACAAAAGATGATTGCTATGTTGGTGACAAACCAGTATTGTAAAATTAGCCATGAAGAAAAGGCTTCATATTTTCTATGCTTGTTGGTTCTTAGCTGCAGGCTTCCATAATGTCCTGTTTATGTATCTAGGATACGTGGAAAGTATAAAAGAAATCTAGAAAATATACCACTGTGTCCTCCTTCAAGTTCCTATGTTCTCAGTAATTCTACCTTCTTTCCAACTGTCAGAGCCTCTCTCTCTCTTATTTATTATGTGGTGTTTACGGCTTTTTACTTGTAAATGGCATCACCCAGGGAGAATGGAACAAATCTAGTTTGGCTGGAAATGGATGTATATAAGTTAAGCTTTAAAGAGGATTTGAATTGAATGAACTTTAAAAATTTAATGCAAATGACAAAATATTTACTATGAATAAATGATTTCATATTTTACATATTTTGAAAGATGAAATGAAATCTTTCAAAATTGAAACCCAGCAGTTTTGACACTTTTCCTACCTTTGACTAGTTATATTAGTTTGGGATTTAGAGAATATTAATTATGCCATTTTCTTCATTAATATTCTTGACATGAACTACTACTGAGTTCCATGATTACTTTTCGAAATTTAAATATAACCTATGAGACCTGATAAGGTATATACAGTAGTTTATAGATTTTTCATATTTCTCTAAAGATTAGGTATTTTATAGTGCAGATATATTAATATTATAAGGAAAATGTAGTGTGATTCATTAAAATATTTTAAAGCTATTTAAAAATTAGATGATTAATAACAATTTCATAATCTCACATTATTTTGAACATTAGAATTTTAGGTAAAACAGTTCAAAAAGTAGGTCATGTTTTTTCAATTTATATATAAAACAGTTTAACATAAAAATTCAATGAATTTTTATATTTGTAATTTAGAATGAACTTCTTCAATTCTCAGAAGAGTATGTCTAGTATTCCTATGATGTGAAAACATACCCAGTAATAATTAATAAAAACAAGATGTGATCAATCCGTACAACTGTAATATGCATATCAATCTTTAGGAGGAAATCAGTTTGTTTTTTAAACAAACGGTAAATTAAGTATCAAAATAATTACTGAATTTCTCTTTAATATAAAAGCAATATAAGATAGAAGATATTATTGTATTCTCTACATTTAAAAACAATATTCAAATTCAGGGTCAAATCATTTTAGATAATTTTGTTTCTTTTTTTAAAGTGCGTGTGTATGTTAGTGTGCATGCATATTGTAGATGACTTCTATTTTATAGAGATATAAATTGATACAATGGAAATATGAAGAAATAGATTAACAATTTGTCTCATTAATTCTCTCAAATGTTAATATTAAAAACTCATACAAGAAGCTTTTAAATTGTGAGTTCTAGAAGAATTGAATGGTCCACTTTAGTCTTGTATGGCACTAACATTGTTTCAGTAGGTGAAGCTCTTTTAACATCAAGCAATTTAATGGAAAAGAAAAGTGTAATATCAAACAGATGAACTGCCCTAATTACATGATATAGGAAACAAAGAAGGAAATAGCAGCAACTCCCATTCTCCTTTATTTATCCATAATTAGACTCAAGGTAGAATATTTTTAGCTCTGCTGCTTCTTATTAAGAAAAAAAGCTCAGCCAGGACAGGGATTTTAGCTCAGTGGTTCCAGAGTTCCATCCCAGGTACCGAAGGAAAAAAAAAAAAAAACAGCCAGCAAGGGTCATAGTGGTGGTGATTTTCCTTTCATGTCTGAACTTTCAGTCTATTTTCTGTATATTATACACTTGGGGCTTTTGTGTAGAGTATCATAGTATAATTTGACAATATATGTTTGAGCACTTGTGAGCTTCTTTGTCATGCCATAGAATATAAGACCAGTGCTACAAAAAAAGGCCTCTAAGAAAGTACAAATTCAATTTCTTAATTTTACATATGCTTAATGGCTGATAATTGTAATAAGGAACATATAATCTATAACTTGGATGCATAATTTAATTTATCTGAACACTAATTTTCAAGCAAAGTTTGTGCAATTTATTCTGTGCATATACTTTATCTGAAAAAAAATGTGAATTGTATTGAATTTTAAAAATTCTGTGTAAAAATGTAATATTATTGTGGAATGCCTCTTTCAGATACCACTCAGTACTAGATAATATTTTTCTTGAAGTATGTGGGATTCAATTCAGGGAGCACTGAGCTATATCCCCAGATTTTTCTATTTAAAAAAAAATAGTGTTTTCTTAAATTGCCTAGCTTGGACTCAAACTAGAGATCCTCCTGTCTCACATTATGAAGAACATGAAATACATGTATTAACCATCATGTCTGGCTAGAGAATTATTTTTAAATAATAATATAACTTCCAGGAGAAAGTATTGCGTGTATCTGCATTATAAGTAAAGAAAAGGGATAGGAGATTGGAATGAGCTTTTGCAGGAAAATTTTATAGTTAAGAAAGAAATAGTAAGTAAACACCAAAAG